GCCATAAAATGAGGAAGAAGCTGATTGCTATTTAGTGAAACCACCTACTCTGACTTAATGCACCCTACCCCTTCCCCTGTGTTGTTTTCCTGCCTGGGTTCTGGGTATACTCCATGACTTTGGACCTGTTCTTTCTGAACTCAAAGCAGATCTTGCTGCTTAGCCCACTGAAGCTGTTACTTCATGGATTTCTGGCTTTGATTTTTGACCTATTAGGTTTTCTTTGATCTCTGGAACCTACGAGCATTGTGTTTAGACCATTCATTCATAAAGAATGTCTTTGTTGACATTCTCTGTCTGTTAATCACTCACTAAGCCCCAGCTCATACAGTGCCTGCCTCCCCACATCACGGGGCTAAGAGTCATAAGCGATCCTTCCATCTCCCCCCCAAAATAAAGTAAATCCTTTGCACTAATGTCCGTAAGTAATTGTTTCAGTGGTTCAGTGTTGGTCAAAATATGGGCAGGTGTGTGTGTGTGCTACTTGGTATTTGTCTAAGTTACTATTTGTTTTAGGACAAAACCTCATGGAAAGTAGTGACTGTACCTGAACTTGCCTTGGCCAACAGTGCCTGACACATGCCATGTAATAATGAATGAACATTCTGATGATGACAATGACCATTATTTAATTATTAACATAGTCATTTATAAAGGGAAGCATAACAAGCTTTCTGATTTTCAATACTCAGCTAATTAGGATCCTATTAGCCTTCGTAAGGTTAATTTATGCCTATCATTTAAAAAATGCAACATGATTTTTTTAAAATGGTCTTTGATGATATTGTAAAACTACATAGGACAGTGGTGTTTCCTTTTGAAAGACCTAAATTTCAAAATAAGTTTCCACAATACCCCCTTCCATTCCCAAAGCAAAAAGATTTGTTGAGTTGGGGGGGTTTTGGCAGACAAAAATAAGACAAAACACAATTTTGATAACTGTGTTTGCATCTCTAAGCTAGGATTTCTTTTACTACTTAAAGATGCTAGAATTTATTATAAAATCTAGAAATGCATGTGTGTTTTTCCATTTGGCTTCATTTATTGATCTGATGAAAAGTACACCAGGTTTGGAGTTAAAAGACCTAAACTCAAATCCTGGTCCTTGGGTAATGCCATTTCTCCTCTCTAGGCCTCATTTTTTTCTCAGCAATAAAAAACAATAAAAAGAAGTTATATTATCTCTATGGTCCCTTGTACAGAATAATGTTTTACAGATATAACATTCTACAACTAATTCTTATTAACTATGGTGCATCCTTCCAGCAGACTTTTGAGTGTTCAAGAAAGATTAAGTTATGCTCACTTATAAGTTTAGTGACAAACTTCATTGTATTCTATTCCACTTCTCTGATAATTGTAATCTCTGCGTTGTCAACAGAATATCTGAACTAGAACGACCTTTAGAGATGACCAACACCAAATCCCTACTTTTACCAATAAGAAAAATGAAGCCTAAAAGAGGAGACATGATTTCTCCAATGTCACACAGCTGGTCAGAGGCTGAGCTGATACCAGAACCCAGCTCTCTTGACTTCCAGCCCAAAAGAGGACTTAGAGTCAGGAAAACCTGGATTTGAATCTAGACTCAAACACGTGAGCTGTGTAACCCTGGGCAAGCCACTTACCCTCTCTAAGCTTTGGTTTCCATGTTTATAAAATGGGGATTGTGGTAGTAATTATGTCAGGATTGTTGTGAGGATTAAGATCATAAATGTAAAACTTGCAAATTTTTAAGCATGTGAGTCACAGCTCTAGTTGTTACACTGTGCCATGTTGCTTCCCTATAGTAGCTCTGAGTTGACCAGACTATTTGATATTCTGGAATCCCTAACCTTTCCAGATAAAACTAAGTGCGCATTGGTGAAGCAATCCAATCAGAATAAAACTCTTTGTCAGAGAGGGAGGAGAGTCACACATAGTGACTGATGAACCCATGAGCATGTATCTTTTCAGCTCATTCATGATTGCATTCAAAGGTACCTGTGAAACTGGTACATCTAACAATGGCCCCCAATCTCTGTTTATTCTTCAGTATAAAATCGTGTAAACCCCAGTGTTCATGGACAACTTAATTCAATCTGCAATTTTGGCAGAGTTGACCAACACCTGACTGGATCTACAAGTACGCAAAGAGTGTGGGCCCAAGGTGACAGCACATGAAGCCTACATTCTATACACGCCTGGTGTTGAATTTCACTTAAGCTGTTGTATATCCCAGATTTGTGACAGGGTGAACTCATGGATATGTCACAGTCTGGCACATGCCCTTGTATCCTTTGTTTTAACACCAATAAACATAACTAGCTAAGCTTCCTCTGAGTGTGGGTTAGTGCCTCTTCCTTGACGTCCCTAACTAAACTGTAACATTTAAAGAATGGGATAAAATCATCAACACATCAAGGATGGTTTGTTTATAGAGATGAATTTTTCTTTCCGGGAGGGCCCTAAAGAAATAGATCATTCCCAAGTCACCCGATATGTTATTCAATAATACCTAGGTAAATGGGAAAATAGTCAGGAGACAAGGTACTTCAAGGGGTTCTCTAGACATGGAGAGTACATTCCTAGTTCTATGGAGGTGGTCAAGCCAGTGAGGAAAAACTAGGAAAGGAGCAGCCACAAGTGGGGGCTTTAAATAGTCTTTGCCACAGCACAAGATACTGTTTCCTAAACTTACTTGCCATTTTCAACAAAGGCCTATCAAGGATGGGTCCAGGGCCCTAATAAACTTTAGGACCCAAGAACATTGTTGGGCCGTTCTGCTTAGTATAACTTGATAGCAAGGGACATTTTTCTAATTCCCTATAAACTAACACACATCATTCCATAAGTCAAAGCAATTTATGGTGTGTATTGTCTTTCTCCACCCACCATATACGTTCTACTAGTTGCTACTCACTGCAAATAACATTTCCATGGCTGTTGTTTTTTTTCCTTCATACCACAAGAGATGCAAACCAATCTTCAGATTGGGTCAGTAGTCAAAAAGCTACCTGCAGACATACTCATCTGAGGATAATTCACTGAGTTCTTCATCAACAGTAATAAATGCCTACTAACCAATTAAAAAAATCATTTTACAAAGAAGCAACACATAGGTTGATTGATCCACAAAAGTAACTGTTGTCTTCTAATCAAGGTCAAAGAAAGCATTTCAAGAAGCCCCTGACTTCTAGAAGCTTATGACTTAATAAGGCTGAATATGGGACTTAGAGTTAAGAAGACTCAAGTTCAACTCCTGCCCCAGACACTTGCTAGTTTGTGTGACCCTAGAGAAGTCACTTAAGGACAACCTCAGTTTCCTCATCTATAAAATGGAGATAATAATAGCATAATAGAATTCCCTTCCATCTCCAAGTCTTCATGTTCTCTCCTCCAGTTAGAGCATAAGCTCCTTGAAGTCAAAAACTGTTTTCATTCTTTTCCTTGTATTCCTAGTACCTAATATGGTGTACGATACATAGCAGGATAGGGAGAGGGACTGGACTTTTGATTTTATTGGTATAAGGAACTCCTGAAACTTCCCCTAATAATCCAGGTTAGTATCTTCTCTACAATTTAGACATAGCCAGGACCATAGAGCTAATACGTGTTAGAATCAAGACCTTCCTGGTTTCAAGAATACCTTTCTTTATCTATTACTACAGCATACTGGCCTCTCAGCAAATAGAAGGAACTTAATAAATGCCTGACTAACTGATCTAAAGTATCTGCAACAATGGATGGAATGCCCACAATGACTAAACTACAGGACGCTGAAGTTTAGTTCACTGAAAAGATAAGAAAGCAGACTAGTGAAAGGGAAAGTGCACTGAACTAAAAAGTCAGAGAACTACAGATGATCCTATGATCAGAGGATGCACAATTTTATGTATGTATACACTTTGTTGTTAAGTTGTTTCAGTCGTGTACAACTCTTCATGACCCAAATTAGGGTTTTCTTGGCAAAGATATTGGAGTGGCTTGCCATTTCCTTCTCCAGCTCATTTTACAGATGAGAAACTGAGGCAAACAGGGCTAAGTGAGGTGCCCAGAGTCACTCAGCTAGTAAATGTCTAAGGCTGGATTTGAACTCAGATCCTCCTAACTCCAGGCCCAGTACCCTGTCCACTGTGTCATCTAGCTGCCCTATTGTGTACACTAGGGAACACAAAAAAGATAATTTTAAGACAATGTCTTGGTGAGGTTTGACAAAAATGCATGTGTCATCTCCTACACCCAACCTCTAACAAGCCATAATGTCCAATCCTATTATAACTTTCTCTGGTTTATTAGAATGTATCCTTTGGAGTTTTAGAATTTATCTGTCCTCTGAGCATGACAACTCTATATTTACAAGGTAGCTAACCAGGATTATTAGAATGTATCTGAGGATAACCACCATATCTTTACAAGTTAAGTAGATCCTCTTTTATACCCATTGCTTATCTGATCATTTAAGACAAAAAAAGGAATATTAGTGTAATATTAACAGATCAACAATGCCAATAACCATCAGCAAGGTTTCTAGGATAAAGGTGAGTAGTATCAGTGGGGATAGAATGGTGAGGAGGTTTTGTGAAGAGGTAACTTGAAAGTACTTATCTGAGAAAGGTAAAACAAACAAACAAACAAACAAACATTAGTAGTTTGTCCATCTTGGACTTATGTCAGACCTACATACCCTGTCCTAATTCTTTATTCTTTTGCAGTAGTTCTTTATCTGGGGTTCACGAATTTTTTTTAAAAAAAAATGTATAATTGTATTTCAATATAATTGCTTTCCTCTGTAGTCCTATGCGTTTTATTTTGTGCATTTAAAGCCATTATTCTGAGGAGGGATCACAAGCTTCACCAGACTGCCAAAGGGGTCTGTGACACAAAAAGAGGCCAAGGACCTCTGGTCTATTGATTCTCCATTTTGGAATTATTACTCAGGCGTAAACAACTCTTCTCCCTGCAATTCCTCTGGCCAAATGGATTTGAGCATTTGGCCCACTGGTTACTTGGCCACCTACCAGATGGACAAATGCTGTGAGAACACTCGGTGCTTTTTCTCTTTTCTGCCTTGGTTGAACTTGGTCTTGACATGTTTTGTGATCTAGAGAGCAACAGGAACACAGAAAATACTTCAGGATTAATATCTCCATCACTCTTTTATTTGCACAGCATCAGCTAGTAAAAAAAAAATGTTATATAAAACAACTCAATAGTATGATGGGCTGGTTGGAGAATTGTCCAGATGGCATTACTTCTCATTGAATTATTGAGCCGTTTCTGTTAACTGTATTAAGTGACTGTGGCTATGGCCAGGCCTATGCACATTACAAAGGTGGGAACAAGCCCCGTGGACCCAATAGGATTGCATCCTTGTGGGAATTAGGGGATGCTCCTTGACAACTGGCCCCTGACTCTAGGCTTTGAGCACAAAGTTTTCTTTGTTTCACACAAAATGGAAGGTTTTCTACTGGTAACTTAGTGCCTAGCAGTTTCACAGAGAGATAAAAATCCTTAGTGCTAGGACCTCAGAGCCTCTTCAGACCTTGGGAGTGAGTCTCCCACCTGGTATTGGTACCATTTTGAAAGGAAAGGAGACAAAGGAATAGGTATTGCTCAACAGAACCAAAATGAGAATTATTAGAATATATTCTTGCCCTAAGTATGACAACTATGTCTTTACAAGCTAGGTAAACCCACTTTTATAGTTCCCTGCTTATGTCTGATCCAGTTCATTACATCATATCAATACCTAAGCTTAGGGTAGCTACCAGCAGCCTCCTTAAGACATTCTTATATAGTCAAGAGATTTAGAACTGAGAATTCCCTAATCCAACCCATCCATTTTTACAGATAAGGACACTGAGGCACATGTCCATAGCTATACAGATAACAAGTGTAGAGTTACTCAGGCTCCAAACTGAGGTCTTTTGAGTACAAGCCCAGTGATCTTTCCACTACTTCAGGTTATTTTCTTATCCTTTCAGCGAGCTATATTTAGCAATCTGCAATTTAATTGGTGTGAGTATTCCTTCTACTGATGCAGGTAATTTAGGAGAGAAATCAATCAACAAGCCTTAATTAAATGCATAGTGTGGATCAGGTACTGTGCTAGGCAGTGGGTATACAAAATCATGAAAGTAGCTCCGCCTTCAAGGAGATTACAGGAAAAACAGTGGAAGTTATGGTTCTTGAACAGAGCCCTGAAATGGGGGGGGGGCTCTCAAAACTTACTGAAGTTAAAAAGTCATCACCCTTCAGCCAGGAGACTCATACATGTATGTACTGCTCTAAGCGTATACTCCAGCAATTTGTGGCCTGCTTAATAAGTGTGCCCCAGCTCACCCTTTGGGGGAAATAAACACGGAATCCATGTCCATTTAACTGACTGTGTCTGGTAGCACCACAAGAAAATGAATACTAACACCTCAGACAACCACAGCTATTCTGATGATAATGATCAATAACCTCAACTTTCCTTGTTAGTATTTAACATCTCATTGCCCTAGCCCTCAAACATGTCCCGTTAAATAGGACCAGCATTCCATGGGCTTGCTAAACTAGGGTCAGTTTATCATCACAGCACGTCATTCCACATAACAACCATATACAAAGAGGACACATTTCACTTATATGTGTTACAGGTCTTTCAGTTCCTTAAATATGCAGAAATTGTGAGAGTTTGGGTTAGAAGCTCACCACTGTCACAGTCATCCAAGTCAACCATGTTGTGAACAACTAAAGAACAGTAATTCTTAGGGAAGGACAATTACAAAACATGTCTACGATGACCTCTCTAGAGTTAAAAAAAAAAAAAGGTTGCTACAAAACCATACAAAATTGACTATTTTCAGAAGTAAAAGGAATAAAGAAGGCTGACTTTTAAAAAAAAAAGGTCACTAAAAGGGATTATTAAAATCAAATGACTCTTGTAAGCTATTATTGGCTTCCATCCTAAATTAAGTTTACTATTAATTATTATTATTATAAGGCTATTACACACATGTTCCACAGAGGAGGCAGGAACCAATGAGCTTTCAAAAGCTAAACATGTTTCGTGCCATGAAACAAATTAAATTCCATATTGGGCAATTAGAAGGCTGAGAGTCTATTATGCATGCATGCTTGAGTGTGTGTGTGTGTGTGTGTGTGTGTGTGTGTGTGTGTGTGTGTGTGTGTGTGTGGTGTTACGTACATTTTGGTTTACAAGAAAAACTTCAGATTTTTGAAATGGATATGAAGTCAGGCTTTAGGAAGATACAATATTTAACTTTATTTCTATGTCATAGATCTACTTTGAAGGATATACATTTCAGATAAAATTTAGATCTGTTCATCTATATGTGTATATGTATGCATCTAAATTCATACACCACATATGACAGCATATTGCACATATGTGTTAATATGTGAACTATAGATGTACATTGTAAGCATATCTCTTACGGGGGAGGGGGAAAGAGAGAAAAGAGGAACATAACGCAATATGGCTCCCTTACCAGAGGCTAGAATGAGACCCTCAGATTCAGTATCATTTGACACCATAATACATCATAGGAGTCCCCCACGAAAATCTAAGGTAGGTTTGGAGAAAACTGAAGCAGGAAAACTTCAGTAAACCTATGCAAAATTGCAGTAACACCTAATGCACAATATGATACAGTGACTTTTTATTTACTGACCATACTAACCTTCTAAAGCCTTATCTTACTTTGAAATGCCAATCACTCCTCATGGCCCTGTCAACTGCATTTGCCCATAAACATACTTTCCCCTTTCAGTTGGTATTGAGTTCTCACAGTGAAGAGCTCAAACATCCTGAGCCCAATCATATGTAGACATTTTCTTCCATATTTAGCACAACATTCAAATCAGACCTCTTGCAATGACAAAAACTACTGGACGTTTTAGTTGTCCCATGGAGTGTATATGTGTATATGCCAAAGAATGAATGGCATGTATATATACCTTTGCACTCCCACATGTGCACAAAGTGGCAGAGTAATGGATAGCAACAGGTGAGAGACAGAATTATATAGGCTGGCAATATAAATCAACATATGCTACAGTCTAAAAACATTTTAAGTGGATCATAAGAGTGATCATTTCCCTTTGCTCTGAGAGGCAAGAGATTGCAATTTAATCCCAACTCTTCCATTAATTTGTTTTGTTGTTGTTTTGTTTATTTTTGTCCTGGGGAAGTTCCTTTACCTAACAGGTTTGGTTTTGCCATCTGTAAAGTTGAGGGCCCTAGACCAGATGACCTCTAAGAGCCCTTCCAGATTTAAATATTATTCACTCAGAACATCCATGAAAATGAGAAGTGGCCATAGAGATTGTAGCAGGCACTGAAATGGATTTCTCATCACTGGAAGGAAGCAAAGGCCAGATGCCCATTTGTCAGGTATGTTATAGAAAGGATTCTTTCTCAAACATAGATGGTCCCTAATGTCTCTTTTAACTCTGAGATTCCATCATGGCACATTCTATGTGTGGTTCTCACAGAATAACTTGACCAATAGCAACTGAAAAGAATTAACATTGCTATGGGCAAATGCATTCCATAAAATCATGGCTTTAGAGTTTGGAAAAGACCTTAGAGGCTGATGAGTGACTAGCCCAAAGTGACACAGTTATTTGGGACCATTGCCAGTTGTCTTGACCTATGTCTTGCTACTGGACTGAATACTCTGGAGGAGTGAGTGAAGCTGATGACTTCACACAGCTCTACTTCACTTAAATCCAGTTCACTTGCAAGTCAAGACATCATTCTCCTGATGTCATTGGTCCTTTTAGACAATGAAGGACAAACAATAACATATAGCTATTAGGTATCTAAGATGTGATTCCAACTGAGGTCCTCCTGACTCTAAGCCTTTCTCCTACACCACACTTTGAGACAAGTTTAGAAGAGTGACATCAGCATTTCAAATTAAGATACAGCTTTGAAAGATTCATATCATTTCCCACCTGGTTGCTCTCCTGGACTTCATCATTGTCTCCTGAAACTCATCTTCCAGTAAAATCACATCACCTCTGAAACTCACTCCTCACTACCACCTCCCCTTAGGCCCTTCCCTCCCTCCAACCAGAGAGGGTGGAGGGTGGACATCAGAGACCTCCTCCCAGATCCTCCTCTTAAGGTGGCCATCTCATCACTTCTCACCTCATTGCTCTCCTGGCCTTCATCACTGCCTCCAGAAACTCATCTTTCTGCAAGATGACATCGACTTTGAAACTCAAACCTCCTCAGTACCTTCACAGCCTTCCCCTAAGGCTCCTCCCTTGCTCTCTTTGGAGAAGGTAGAGGACTTTCTCCCAGATCTTCCACTTCCAAACACCCAATTCATCATTTCCAGCCCAACTGCAGAACTTCATCATGTTTATCATGCCCCTACTTGAGGACCTCTTCATTTTCACCTCCTTTTAATTTGTCTCCCTTATTAGATTGTGAGCTCCTTGAGGGCACAAGGACTATCTTTTTGCCTCTTTGTATGCCCCACCACTTAGCATAGTGCCTCATCCATAATGGTCAACTAATAAATGTTTATTGACTGACTGAATATGGATAGGAGAAAAAAAAATAGCCACGAAGGTACATGTCATTTTTACCTTTTTCAGAGAAGCCATTTCTAAATACAATCTATCTCTTGAACAATTTTACAATGTTAATGAAACTGGCCAATTTACACAACGGTTTATAGGTTCTACCCTGGCATGACAATAAATCTTGTGTCCCTAGGTATAAGAAGAATAAACACAGCTCGACTATATCTGCATGGGCCATTGCTACAGGCTTGCTTATACACACACACCTCTCTGGGGTTCAGAAAACTTCATCATTCTCAAGTTTTTAAAGGTAGCACACATTTGCCTATTGCTTCAGGAATAGAGGGAAATGTGCTGCTCTGCTAATGATTTCTTTCATATTGTGTACCATCAAAGGAATAACATTTCAGAATTGTAGGCTCAATTGAGCATAGCAAAGCTACTCAATTCAATTCAACAACCACTTATTAAGTTCCTACTGCATTCAACACATTGTTGTAGTGCCAGAGGAGATAAGTTTAGAGAAGACAGGGCAGCTAGGTGGTACAGTGGACGGAGCATATGACCTGAAGTCAGGAAGACCTGAGTTCAAAACAGACCTCAGACACTTACCAGCTATGTGACCCTGAACAAATCACTTAATCTGTTTGTCTCAGTGTCTTGAACTACAAGATGGGGATAATAACCCGACAGAGCTGTTGTGAGGATCAAATAAGATCATATTTGTAAAGTATTTAACACAGTGCCTCATCCATCATAGGCAGTATATAAATACTTACTCCCTTCTATTCATAGTGCTTACATAAATTACACATGCCTTCTGAGGAAGAACAGCATCTGCATATGTATTACATACATGTACTGTGTGTGTGTGTGTGTGTGTGTGTGTGTGTATATATATTTACATATGTAGTATACATGGAGAGAGAGATAGACAGACATTCTTTAAACACAAGAGCTAAAATCTAAAGGCTAGAATGTGGGAGGTGAAAAAAGGTCATTACTTAGTGGCGCCATGGAATGAGCACTGGCCTTGGAATCAGAAATCCCAAGTTGAGGTTTCCTCAATTTCTTAAGCTATAAAATGGGCAAAATAACATCTGTACAACCCATCTCACAGGCTTGCTGTGAAGAAAGTGTTTGGAAAACATAAAATAGGGGGTTATACTATTGTTATTATTAATATTATGATTATCTAGTTTATTTCCCTGCCTTTTGCATATGAATGCACAAAGGCCTACCTAAAGAGATTAAGAGCCCTGCCCAGTTCACAAAGCAAGTTACAGCTGGAATTGGTCTCCAGGTCTTCTTACTCCTAATGAATAAATATACTTTCCACTAAATTATATTTATTCATTAGCACACACAGAGGATTGTCAAAAGATTTTTTTTAACTTTTTTAAAAATGAAAATACAAATCTTAAAAATTGATGCCTTCTAGGAGGTTATTACATAGTTGAACAGTAATTTACTCAAGGGACTCAACTCTGTTATTCTAGCACCTGTGTGACCTTTGTAAAGTCACTTAACTTAATCTCTCTAAACCTCAGTGTATTCATCTGTAAAATGAGGCAGTTGGACTAAAGGATCTCTAAGGCCCCCTTCATCTCTAAATCTGTGACCTTATCATGATTTCTTAGTAGTCAGAATCTACCCAATCACAGATTTTTGGAATCTATGAAAAAACTTTAGAGGTTACTTAGCTTAACCTGATTTTACAAATGAGAAAAGTGAAGCCCAGACTTTTCCTAAGGTCACACAAGTAGAAAATGGTGAAGCCAGCATTTGAACTCAGGACTTCTGATGTAGGTCCAGCACTCTACCCACTAGACCATCATAACTGTGTTTTCTTATCATTTTTTCCCCCATAATCATTTTGCACCGTCTTATCCCCTAGAGAGCAGAAAATGACGGAATCTTAGCACTTTATGAGGAAAAGACAAGCTTCCATCATAATGACAATGTCTCAAACCCTGATCCATCTCTGGGGGCCAAAAATTCCAGTCATGAGCTCTTGCTTCAACATTTAGCAAACTAGAAATAAAAAGGAAAGGTTCAAAAAACAAAATAGCCACACATGCACACACATCAGTTGCACAGACCAAGAGTACATCACACTTTAGTGTAAATTTTAAGGACTCTTTTCCTGTACTTCTACATCCTGACAACAAATTAGCTACCAACTAAGGATTTAGCCCTAATTAGTACAGAGATAGATAAAATTACTTAATGTAATTTCATGCTTGGTCTGGGTTTTTATCAATTCTATTTATCAAGAACTCTGTTTAAGAGTTTTGGATAATTAAAAGCAAAGCCATGTATGTGCTTCTTAGAGGCACCTGCATGCATATAAAGGCAGCATGCCTTGGACTTGGAATCAAGAGCCCCCGAGTTTGAATCCTGACTCAGATCCTTACTAGCAGTGTGATTCTAGGCAAAATATTTTATCTGAGTCTCAAAAGTTTCCTCGCTCAAAAGATGAGGATAACAGTAATACCCATCTCACAGCATTATTGTGAGGAACAAATGAGAAAGTATATAAAATTCTTTGTAAACTGCAAAATACCATATAAACGTGAGCTTTTAGTATTACAGTAACACTATACTTGTCTCAAGGTCAAAATTCCAGAAACCTCAACCCTCCAGAAGACAGTCCTAAACGCAGCCTCTGAACTATCTGACAAAAAAAAAAAGCATCATTATCATCATAACTAGTATTTATAGAGTACTTTAAGGTTAACTGAGTTTAGTAGGATTAGCAAGAATGGGCCTTGAAAAGCAGGCATCAGACTTCAGATTTGCTCTAATGTGCGATAGGGAGCGAATGTGAAACAAGGCTAGGAAGCAGATCTGGATATTTCTATATAAAGAGCACTCACTTATCATAACAATACCTTCCAAACCAAGGACAAATCACATCATGACTTATTTTTGAGTGGTAGGCTTAAACCATGATCCTTTAGAAAGATGGTGCTCTTGGGACTTAAACAAAAGAGGATTTGGAAGGTAATGGGAATTCTCAAGAAGGTGCGGAGATTAAAGGACCCTCCTGGCAACTCTAAACAAAGTTTGCCATTGCCAGATTTTGGCTGTGCTTAATTAGGCTATAGAAGTTCTTAGTTATACCAGTCTTTGCAGTGAATGAAGGGTCGTTCTCCCAGCTATGACGGGTACGGATCATTGGTTTAGATTTGGAAATAACAGTCACTTCCCTCTTGGGATCTTCCAGCCTCCAGCCTCTCATTTCTCTAATACTCCCCTACATCTTCCTAAGGCATGAGTCTGGCCACATGACTCCCCTCCTCAAAAATCTTCAACGGCTTTCCATTGCCTTTGGAATAAAGTAGAGGTTCTTCAGGCTAATATGTAAAGTCCTCCACACAGAGGCTCCAACATGTCGTTCCACCTTATTTCTTTGTACTCTCTTTCACATGCCAGCCAGATTGTACTAGTGGTCTATCTCTGTGAATTTGTCCAGTCTGTTTCCTGTGCCCGAAGGCATGCCTTCTTCATCGCTGCCTTTCAGAATCTTGCTCTTCTTTCCAAGGTCATCATGATGTAATCGACAGAGTGCTGGACGTGGAGCAAGGGAGACCTAGGTTCAAATCCTGTGTCAGTCATTTGCTAGCTATGAGGCCCTGGGAAAGTCACTCAACCTCTTTGTACCTCAGTTTCCTCACCTGTAAAATAAGGAGACTGAGTGGCCTCTAAAATCCCTTCCACCTCTAAATCTGTGGTATTCCACAAAGCCTCCTCAGCTCCCTCCCACATGAATGTTCACTTTCCTCTAGACTCCCTAGAGGTCTTTGGAGCTCACCTTTGTCTGGATGACACCTTTATTTTTTTTTTAACACCACCAATGATTTCATGAATCTGGAAAGGTCCTGGGGAGGATCAGTCAAGACGTGGGAGAAACAGGACTTGAACCCAGGTCTTGCTGACTAGAAGGCCAGCCCTCTGTCCCTGACACCATGGCTGCCTCTCAGATCACATTGTAGCTTCTATTATATTTACCTGTTTATATGTCACATTCCTACTAATGAAAATGTAAGTTCCTAGAGGAAAGGGACTATGTCACTCGTGTATATATAAACACATGCATATATAACATATACAGTATCCATATGCATTCATATATACACACATATACACACCCATACACATATAGGCATAATATGTGCAGTATATAATCATATACATACATGTGCATAATCTATGTAGGACATGCATGCACACATACACGTGTGTATAAATACATATGGGTTACATATGTGCATGTGTACACGTGTGTATATGCATGTGTGAAGCATACTATACACATGTGTATGTATATGTACTGTGTGTGTATGTGTTCAGCATCTGTATATATGCATGGGTGTGCATGTGTGTAGTGTATGTGTATGTGTGTGTGTGTGTATGTATGTATATACATATATACACGTAAACATGCCCACAGGGTACCTACGTTAAACATAGTAATTACTTCGTAAATTTAGAATTTAGTGAATTTCAAGATCCCAATTCACTGAAAAGCACAAACTATTTTTTATAGTTTATTAGTTTAGCTGGTCTGATCTCAAGGAAAGTTGTTGAATTCAGCTATTTAACTGCTTGAAATTAACATTGTATAACAGAAAAAAAGAAAGGGCAGTCAAACCTTAGTTCCTGTTCTCCACGTTTATGAGAAGGCCATGCCACACTGGATTTCTCACAGTAGTTCTTATAACCAGTTGCTTTGGAGGTAATTTTTATGGAGGCAGAAAATGGCCTCTCTAATAAAAAAAACAAAAACATCATGAAGTCAAACACGAATGATTTTCAGCATTAAATCCACACATTGTATACTACAGAGGTAGGCAGTTTAAGTCTGATTTCCCAAATACTTATATACAACTTGTACCATAAATCAGAGGATTTAGTCAGTACAGGACATTTTAATATGAATGTTAGGGAGAGGGAGGGGGAGGGAGTGGGGGGGAGAGGGGGACGGGGGAGGGAGGGAGGGAGGGAGGGAGGGGGAGAGAGAGAAAGAGAGAGAGAGAGAGAGAGAGAGAGAGAGAGAAAGAGAGAGAAAGAGAGAGAAAGAGAGAGAAAGAGAGAGAAAGAGAGAGAAAGAGAGAGAAAGAGAGAGAGAGAGAAAGAGAGAAAGAGAGAGAAAGAGAGAAAGAAGAGAGAGAGAAGGGAGAGAGAGAAAGGAGAGAGAAAGAGAGAGAAAGAGAGAGAAGAGAGAAAGAAGAAAGAGAGAAAGAGAGAAAGAAGAAGAGGAAAGAGAGAAAGAGAGAAAGAGAGAAAGAGAGAAAGAGAGAAAGAGAGAAGAGAGAAAGAGAGAAAGAGAGAAAGAGAGAAGAGAGAAAGAAGAAAGAAAGAAGAAAAGAAGAAGAAGAAAGAAAGAAAGAAAAGAAAGAAGAAGAAAGAAAGAAAGAAAGAAAGAAAGAAAGAAAGAAAGAAAGAAAGAAAGAAAGAAAGAAAGAAAGAAAGAAAGAAAGAAAGAATTCTGTTTAGCTACAATATAAGAGATTTTAACTACATAGTCTGGGTTATGTTTTTTTTTTCCTATGAAACCAAAATGATTTAATCAATTTCAATCTACAATGCACTCTGAATTTGGAAGATGTGCACCATTTTCCAGGGCTCAGTTATTAAAATGTATTTTAGATGAAAGGCACATGAAAATGCTGATTTACATATAAACTACTGGGTAGCAAAATGAATAGAATCATCAGGCTCATTGTAAAACAAATAGTTGAAATATATATTCCACAGAGGAAATAGTAGAGTATTTGTCCTCAAAAAGCCCATCTTCTAGATTGTTTTTAATTAGCTGGAGGATTCTTAGTCTACCAAAATAGGTGCTGGAATTAGCAAACATAAATCAATTCTTTCATTATGAGACCTTCTAGGCGAAGCTTTGTCTCCTTAATAGGATTGCTCAAAGACTTTGGAAAGAGTTGTTCTTCAGTAGTTTCTTCTTCAACAGAATCATGCTGTATATTCTTCTGTCCTGGCTTATCAATGTCTCTGTGAGGAATAGCTTGAAACACACTGCTCTCATCATTGGGTCTGATTTCTTCACCTATGTCTTTCTTCTCTGGATCCCCTTTCCTGGCATTGTTTTCCAAAAGCCCAGTGAAGTGGTTGGAGAAGGATAAGCTTCCTTCTTCTGAATTACAACCCCTCATCTTGTTCAATTGATGCAAGTAAAAAAAATATGTCTCCAGCACACTGGCTTTCTGCTCTGATTTCTCTGGCAGAGCATCATCTCCAGAGATCCTACAGCTACCACCACCACTTACTTGGCAGGACAAGGAATCTTCTGAAATAGTTTCAGGCAGGTCTGTGGAGACAGAGTAACTTGAGAAAACAGTATTTTCCTTACTCTCGCAAGTCATCTCCTTAGCAATCACTTTGGGTGTCTCTATAATTTTCCAGTCTATACCTGTTGGGGATCTGTTGTTGATCTGTTGATCAATCCTTACATTGCAGCACGTGAAACAGTGGTGGCCCGAGGTGAGCTCACATTCTGAAGCACAGTCAGAACAAACACTAGAAGTGACATTTTCTGAGGGATCTCCTAGTGTATTCGGGTGAGGGTTAAAAATCTGAATAACTGAATCATTGTCGCAGCACCTCTCATTAATTTGTCTTTGGCCTCTCTTTTGGATTTTGCTTTTACTGGCATCAAATCCACCATTAATACTAACTTCCTGACTTTCTCTTATTGCTTGACCAACAAAAGTCTTATCTTCCACACAGTCAGATAGCAATCTACTTCTATAGTTAAGGTCCCTTAGGGGGACCACAAAGTCTAACTTCTCAGAGCTTGATTCTCCTTTTCTCATCCTGAAGTCATCAACAGGGGAGTCAAATTGGTCAGTGGACAGTTTGCTCATAAGCATTGAGCCATTTTTATCCCAAGGGCTGTCAGCCCGAAACCTGGATACAAAATCCTTGGGTTTCCAAGTAGTTATTTCTCCTCCTTTGGATTTTTCGCTGACATCAGCCTCCCATCTGGAGAAAACACTGCCTTCCAACTTTGGGGACCTCAAGTCCATTGTACAAGGACTTCTGGGAGATGGGGAAATTCCTGAACTCTCTGTGGAGTCTCTGAGCTGAATACCTTTTCTAAAAGTTCTCCAGTTTTCCCCATTTTCATCAGTGCATTCATCTTCAGAGCTATCTGTTAGTGGGGCCCAAAAGTAACCATTGCCATGACAATCCTCATTGGTTTTCTCAAAAAGACTCCTTTCACAACTGTCTTTAGGCTGTGGATGAACACTGTCTCTGTCTCCTGGCTCACCTTGATTTTGAGAAGATGTATTTCCAGGCCTATCACATGTTGGTTGAATAAGAGTAGGCTGCCTGAAACCAACTAGAGGTGACACTGGGGGCCTTTTCTCCTGAAATCTAGCTTCCTGCCACCCACTAGACCAATTACCAGGAGACCTCCTCTCCTCAAAAGAACTTAAAAAGTCCAGAGGAAAACATGTCCCTGATAAATTTTCTGTAGGGACCAAAGAAAAGCTGAATTTTTTTCGAGAATCTGTGTGTATCCTCGGGCCATCATCTCGGGACTGTGAGGCGGCATGGCAGGAGCTCACAAAGGCATCTTGACGACAGTCTTGTACTTTTTTGCTTTGGCCAAGCAGAGACAAAGCAAAGGGTGGATTCTCCCCAGGACTCTTTAGCTCCTGGCCTTCATGGCACTTGGTCAGAAACCTCTGGGCCCAATTCATCACATGCCTTAGTTTCTGTGTTTCTGGAACCAGTACATCGTCAAGCAGGGACAGATCTAATTCAGAAGGGCAGCTGTTTCTCTTGCCTTCTTGGTGGACTCGCTGGCCTACCTTAATTCTATCTTTGGTTTTTTCACCAGACACTTTGGTTAATTGCTGACATACATTCACCTCCTCACTGGCTGCAGAGTGAGGTGACTGCCAGTGACCTCTTGAAGGGGAGGTCTGACTTTCTGAGGGGTTTGTTTTGGAGCCCAAAGCAGCTCTTGGGGAAGCTTTTAGTGCTGACTTGTTGCCATTTCCAGGAGAACCAGTCTTGAGGATCCCCCAATGCTTTCATAGTAAGACACTCGTCTAGCCCGTAAGAGCTTCAGCTCACAGGTTCGAGGGGAGTCTGTCTCAGCAGCGCAGTCACAGGATTGCCACGCACTTGTTTTTCTGGATAAATAATCCATCTGCAAACAAAAAGGCAGAAACTTTCAAACTTGCAACTGGTCAATCTTTTATCTGCAAAGGAAGAATTGCTCAGGCTGGGATTAAACGATCGTTCTGATTAAACCCGTTAGAGCGGTTTTGTAACACAAGAACAAAGCAACTAATGAGCTGTGGAACAAGAAAAGGAAAAACTTCACCATCTGGATTTAATTACATTTAGTCAAGATATGGTTCTTGGTCACCAAACAATAAAAGGGCAACTCTGACTTTTACAGTGGCATATGCTCATTTAATGTGTAGAAATCCCAAGAAGAGTTTTAAATAATTTCTTTTCAGGAGTTGCCCTCAGTTCAATTCAACAACATTTATTAAGGACCTACTATGTTCAAAGCACTGTGCTTGTCGCTGAGGATAGAAAGACAAAAAGCTAGTCTGCGCCCTCAGTCGTGTTACACTCTACTGAAGGAATGAAGCACACACACAGATAAGTACATTAGAAATGCATACAAAGTAATATAGAGGATTTTCAAGAATGTTAAAAGACTAGCAACTGGGCATCACTTACTATAATGTGCTTTGAAAGAAACTCTAAAGATGATGAGGCAGAGATGAGGAGGGAATGAATTCCATGGGAGAACCATTTGTACAAAGGTAAAGTGGAAAGAGGTAGAATATTGCTGCATTCAGTGAAGAGCCAGCAGGGTGGTTTGTCTGGAACAGAAAACATATGAAGGGGAGTGATATAATAAGGCTGGAAAGGTAGATGAGAGCCATACTGTGAGGCACTTAAATGTCAACCTGCTGATTTTGTACTTTATCTTAGAGGCAGGACATCAGTAAGGAGCCATTGATGACTTTCAAGTTGGGAAGTGATGTAGTCAAATCTGTTTCATTTATGGAGTCAATCAAGGAAGTCACCAAGGACAGTTTCCTAATGTACCCTTGACATCAGAAACATGTGACAATGTCATTATTAAACTGTGCCCCATAGAACATTTAATATAGATTCATACTTACTCCAGACAACTATCTCCTGTCTATTAATCTCCTGCCCTTGCTTGTCAGGACCTGCCTACCCTGAGTCAGGACACTTAATTTTTGTCTTCCCCGTGACCTACCACCATGCTGAGCACATAGTAGACATTTAATAAATACTTGTCAATTGATTGACTTGTAATTCCCACAAGTCCTAGGACAACGTCATGCATAGTAGGTGCTCAATCAATACCGGTTAGTTGTTCTGATTAATCTCAAGCAAATGTCTGTTCCGGTTTTCCTAAAGCCAGCTCTGTGCTAAAATGGTTATCCTCAACAGTTTTTAAGCCCTGACCATTCTTACCTATCAAACCAGAAAAAGCTATCTTTCTCTTTTGCAGAAATTGACCACCAAACATCTTAGAATCCTACTCCTAGTACAGAGTTTGCCATCACTACTCACAACAGAAGAATCCTCTCTCCTCTCACTCCCTCTTTATCAGCGTATTCATGCTGCCCACACTTTGCTATTTCTATTCCCTTTGAATACCATCTTGAGTCTATTTTTCCTCATTATCTGGGTAGTTTGCCTATATACAATCCCACTTGTAGAGCAGGCTAGTTTTAGGGAAGGTATATACCACTGGCTCTAGAAATTATGAAACAAAATAGCCCCATGAAATATTTTTGGATGTAGTATTTGGAATAAGGCAGACCTGGATTCAAATTCTGCTTCAGATATTTACTTGCTGTGTGATCCTGAGCAAGTAATTTAACTACTCTGTGTTCAGCTTCCTCATTTCTAAAATGAGAGGGTTGGACTCCATAGGCTTAAGCTCATTTGCGGCTCTAGATCTACGACATCTAAATTTGATTCAAATCTACAAACTCCAAATCTATGATCTCTAAATCAATAGTACCAGGACCTGTGATTTCCCTGGTGTGGATAATTCTCCATGCAGGCATTCACTCTATCAGTGCAGATCACTCACATCTCTGTAACCTGTAGTCTTTTAGAGAGACTTGTCCAATGTCTAACAGCATAACTTGAACCCAGAACTCAATTAAGCAAACTAAATAAGGTCCCATCTTATCAAGATTCCAAGATTGTGTTTTTTTTGGTTTTTTTGTTTTTGCTTTTGTTTATTTTTTCCCCATTATGCTGTAGGTTTTGTGTCAGAATAGTCAGTAGCTGAAGTTTTGTTTTTAGATCCAAAATTGACAAGAGAGTAATTCAAACATAAACAAGCTGGCCTGCCAATGAAAAAGAAAACACATGAGGGAAAACAGAAGAACCACATTCTCAAAATTTGTTTCGCACCCACTTAAGAACACTGTACAGACTGGCAGTGTCACTATAAACAGATGTTTGTTTAATAAAGTCTATATCTTATTCTTTATTTAATGCCAACATTTCCTTCCTGACAGTACATCATTGTTTCATCAGGAGCTAGCTTCAAGCCACTGAAAAATACAAGAAAATTTAGTCTTCGCTCATCTTGCTTCAGACTGCAGTCTACAATTGCCATCTACAGGCTTAGATGAAACATGCTAGTTGTCTCAATAACCAAAAGATCCCTGGGTTACTGAACGCAATTGTCTGATCTGTTCTAGCCTCCTGAAGGCCAGAGCAAAGGAGAAATCAAGAGGAGTGAGAAGAGGTCACAGCAGGTGCCCACATCAGTGAAATCACAGGTCATAGGACCATAAGATCCTAAATTCAGAGCTGGCAGGGACCTTAAAGAAAGAGTAGAAAAAAAGAATCACAACAAAAAGAGAAGGAAAAAATGAGCAAGATGGCAGGCCAAATGTGGTAGAAACGGAGTGATTTTGTTTAAGGTTACACAGAAGAAAGAGTATAAACAAAAGGAAAAGTGATTTTTGACCTAAGGCAACCCACAGTACAGCAAAAAAGGCTAAACGTATATGGAGTCCCTTAAATTCCCCAGTGCAAAGATGAACCTATTAGAAGTTTTAAAGTTAATTTTTTTTAAAAAAAAGATTTTTAGATCTAGGCATTTATGAAAGGCCATATGTGTATGTCTGAATTCCTTGCAAGTGTGTATTATGTTTCCAGTAATTTTTTAAAATCATTTTTAACTTTCAAAAAAATTCTACTTTTCTCAGAAAGCTTGAGAGGCAATTTCCCCCATGAAATCTGATGGATTGGACAGCTATTTAATATTTTTAGAATACTTTAATATTAGAATGTTAATTAACATTTGGAATGCTTTAATATTAAAATATTAATTTATATTTAGAATACTTTAATATTTTTAGAATACTTTATCATGGTAGAGAGGTTATGACCAGAAGGGTTCCTAGTCAGGACTGATAAGGTCAAAGGATGATCTTTGCTCTTTAAAAAAATATCCCTATGTAAGGCATGGATGTACCCAGTGTTATCACACTGAGATAATTGTACAGATTCCTATGAGTTCTTCGTAGATTTTTTTTTTTTGCATTTTCTGGCGGGTGAAATGAAAGCTGTCTTATTTCCAACATATTATTGGTTGAGTACTCACTTGGCTGCTGAGAAACCTTTTTACTCATGTCTGTGGAAGTCTCAACACGATTTGTATTTTCTTACATCCAGCTGAAATCTCAGGGGGCACACAATCCAAAGTCCCCAGTGTTGAACCCCACCCCAACCATTTAAACACAAAGCTTGAAGTCACTAGGCCAATGGTTAGTTACAATGACAAATGCAAATTTGTCCTCTCAAAAAATTTTTAATGAAATGTTTGACAGAGAGAATTCTTCTCATTCTCTCACCTAGTAATAAATGTTATAAGCCTCTGAGACATTCCTAATCCAGGCTTAGTATGATACATCTGGCACTTACCGTAAGGCTATTACCCCCTTCTATCTTTAGTTAACTTTTCACATGTCTTGTCTCTCCAAGTAGATGGCAAGTTCTTTGAGGGAAGGGATCCTGTCAATACCCCTAATTCCCTTCACTGAAAGAAATGGGGCCTCTTGGGAGAAGAATATCTATCAACAAGGATCCAAAACTGTGAGTCAAAGAGAGGAAGCCAAACTGAAAGTAAAAATATTTATTAGCATGTTAAGGAAGACTGATATCATGCTGATAGCAGCTCCATCTCCCTAGAGCATAGATTTCATTTTTATAACCTTTCAGGCCTTGCTTCTAGTACACAGCCAATCAGCAGCACTTTGCAGTCATTGAGGATAGATAAAGAAAGCATGTCATTGGAAAAATAAGGATAGAGAAAGAAGGGGTTCAGCCAAGGGGAAAAAGGACAGTCATTTGCAACTGCTGGGTTTATTATCAGAATAAGAAAGCATTCACTGTTCAAGGGTAAAAGATAAGTGACCAAATACTTTTATAATTATGAAAGAACTCCTTTTTAGACAAAACTGCAGGATGTTTTATCCAATGACAGCACGTAATTGTTACAACAGTGGATGAGCTTTATCATGTCCTTGCATACAGGTTAGGGAGTTTTTAATATTAAGCCATAGGATGGTTTGGGGATTTCTACATTTTTAGTCAATCAAGATGTTGTAAAATGATTGTGGTTCCAGTTCCCACACACCCATACCCACACAACCCCCATACACAAGAGCTAATATAGTGGCTTTAAAATGTGAAGGTTCAATAAATGTGTTAATTGGATGACTGAAGGGGTGTCCCAAGTCTGATTTATGAGTTTTCATTGTTAAAATAACCTCTTTAATTTCTCCCTACCCTGTGTCCCAGTGTACCACTTCTCACCAACTGCCCAGTTAATTTATCCATGGGAAAGTCCTAAAGCTGGAAGGAAGGACTGAAGGAAGATAATTTTGGAGCTGCGTAGAGAAGAGAGGAGCCAGGGAGTGAGAAGCCAAGTGGTACAGAAGCATGCCAATGCCAGTGGCCAGCTGATTCAAAGTAAGAAGTGCTGCTACCCTGAATTGAATATAATCAAGAGCAGGTAAAGTCATGTTTGACTCACTGAACCACTTAAGGAATAATATGCTAGGACAGAGTTTTGCTATCTTGCTGATACTGGGATGTGGTGAATTTGCTCCCTCTTCATTTCCTCCCCTTCCCACACTTCATCCAGTCTGGGGAACTGGCATTGCTTACCCTTAAAACGTGTTTATTTTATGCCTGTACATTTACAATAATTTTTTTTATCTCCAAATAAAGATAAGCTGGCTTTTATTGCTTTCTGAAGGTTTGCTATGAGTAGACCACAACAAAGACAAAGAACCTCTGGTTAAATAGCTCTATAGGTGCGAAGCTATACTAAATCAATGTCTCTCTCTGTCTCTCTTTCCCTCCCCTTTCTGTGTGTGTGTGTGTGTGTGTGTGTGTGTGTGTGTGTGTCCCTCCTGGAAAAGCCTGAATGAGTGACAGACTTGATGACAGACTTGGAATTAGGAAGATTTGGGTTAAAATCTCATTCCTGACACTTTCTAATTATGTGATCATGGACAAATCCCAAAATCTAAGCCTCAGTTTCCTCAGCTGTAAAATTGCCATAATATCTGTAATAACCACCTCATAGGCCTGTTGTAAAGATCAAAGGAAGACAGCAAATGAAAAGTGCTTTGCAAGCCTCAAAATGCCACAGAAACATTAGCTATTGTATTATTACCAATGGAAAGGGTTGACAAACTATATATATATAATCTACATCTATCTATATTCGTATATGTACATACACACATATATATAATAATACATATGTATATAAACACATACATGCATATAAATGCATATATGTATCGTATAGATACACACATATGATTAGATTTTACCCAAGGGCTGTAATTTGCCATCCCCTTGACCTAGGGAATGGCTAAATTCATGCCAAAAGTTTCCCCAAAAAGGACCTTAGATTTAAAGCTAAAAGAAACCTCAGAGGTAATTTAATCTAACCTTTTCATTTTGTAGTTGAGGAAACTGAAGCCCAGAAGAAAACTTCAGTAATTTGCCCAAGGCCACACAGGTACTAAATGTCACAAGTAGAATTTGAACCCAGTTCTTCTGATTCTAGAACCAGTATTCTCCACTGTACCACACTACCTAGTAAAAATAGAAGAAAAAAACACACTAAATGACATCGATTATTCTACTATTCACTTGAAAGGAAGAATATTAGCATTTTCCTTGGTTATTCTGAAATCAAGACTACCCCCCAGCCCCAAGTCACTTTTAGAGGCCTTGTAATCTTTTAGTCAGATTGGGGGAAGGATATCAATGACTGCTAGCATTTTGCATCATAGATCTAGAACATGAAATCAAATTTCAGAGGCCATATAGTCCAACCCCCTCATTTTACAGATGAGGAAACTGAGACCCAAGGAGATCAAGTGACTTACCCAAGATCACACATGTAATAATCATCCAGGCTTGAACTCAGGTCTTTTAACTCCAGAGCTGGTGCTCTTTCCATTAGACCCATGGACAACATTCCTTACCATCAGCAAATACTAGACAGCCTTTGGCAAACCAAGTAACCATTCTGCTCAAGCTAGGAAAGATTATTATTGAGCCTACCCAGTAGCCACCTTGGTCCATAGCTGCTTGGTAAAAGTCAATGAACCCAATACCCCATAGCATCATAAGATAACTATCTAACTCTATTAAAAGCAATTTGGTTTTTCCTAACAAAAGTCTACTCTCAGTGTTTCTGAGCAGCTAAGTAGATATCAGTAGTAATTCAGTAGGGAGATGCAACCACTAGACAGCAGAGCATGGCAGCTTTAGTCCTCATCTTGGCGCCAGGAAGCTCTTAACTTCTAAGCACCTACTCGTGAGGTAACCCTAGGCAAGTACCAATCATAGACTAGTTGAGGCTAGAGTAGTTCCTGAATCTCTATTCTTAAAAATGATTTGTCAATGAACCAACAAGTATTTATTAAGCATCTGCTGGGTGCTAGGTACTGGGGATACAAGTACAAAAAATTAAATAATTTCTACTCACAAAAAGTTTAACATTCTAATGGGGAGGGGGGGAGAACACCCACATATAAAAGATATGGCCTAAATATAAAATTAATATAAATATACACAAAATAGTTAAATACAAGGTACTTCAGGTAGAAGGACACTAGCACTGGAGGAGAATTAGGAAAATCTTCACGCAGATGATAGTGCCTGAGTTAAATCTTAAAACAAGAAAAGTACTCTGTGAGGTGGAGGTGAGTAAGGAGTGAATTGGTAACCATTTACTATTATTGTACATTTCTTGGTACATGTATCAGTTATGTGCATGAACTGGCGAAAGTGGCAAAAATGGAATCCCACCTTGGTGATCACAACTGCTACAGATATTTAACCCCAGAGAAATTTAAAGGAGCCACCATGACCTCCTTCTTTCTCAATCACTGGTTTAAAATTACAACAGAGGCTCTTCAGCCGAATTCTGGTAGTAGTTCCACAATGTCTAGTGCCATTGATTGAGTGGATCTTTTGTATTTCCACATGGGACTAGAACCATGCTCACCTAAGGACCCCTCCCCTAAATTTGCCCAGCTGAAGCAGCCTTCAAGGTCAATGCAGCTTTCACCAATATAATATATGAGAGAAGAAAGAAGGCTGAACAACCAAAGAATTAAAAACACAACGATGAAAAACACAGCTGCTGGAAATCACCATCCTAGGGTGGCCTTAAATTGAGTGGGTCCCTTTTAGAGCAAAATCCTATGCCTGTGTTCTCTCTTCCACGACATGGATTCAGTGCAAAGGTAGATTACTAAAGCACTTCTCTGCAAAGGAGAGACAATGTGGTCTAGAAGAAAGAGCAAGAGACTTAAAACCAGGAGAGGCCTGGGCTGGAATCCTGCTTATGACCCTTATTAACTGTGCACATTGGGCAAGTCACCTAACCTGAGTCTCAGTTACCTCAACTATACAACAAAGATGATAATACTTCTAGTTATCAGTCTCATAAAACTGTTATAAAGCACAAACAAGGTCATGCAAACACTCTGCAACTCTTAAAGTACCATATAAATGCCAATCGTTTTTCCAAGGTTTATTGATGACTTTGTTTTCAGATCAGTTAATTCTAAATATTATTAATATGTGGATATCACACTGATGCTTCCTTTGTGACAAAGAAACAGTTAGCCAAACCAATCCACATAGTCTCTTACAGTGTATGCAACATTCCACACCCATAGTTCCCCACTGCTCCAACGAAAAGAGGGCCATAGTACCAGCTATTACTACAGAGGAATATTATTAAGGTCATGGCTGTAATATTTCTATTTTAATACCTCAAAAGATATGAGTGATTATCTCAATGTGGGCACCCCCTCCACCAACCCATGAACTAACCTTTATATGAATTAGAAAGCAATTCCATGAATTTCTGCAGACAGAAAAACTAATTACCTAGTGGCCAATTCACCGGTCCTAAGTTCAAGGCAAATATTTGCTGTTCTTCAGTTGTTTTAGTTGAATCTAACTTTCTGTGACCCCATTTGGAGTTTTCTTGGTTTCTTGGCAAAGATACTAGAGTGGTTTGCTATTGTCTTCTCCAGTTCATTTTACAGATGAGGAACTGAGGGAAAAGGGCTAAGTGACTTCCAAGGGTCACACGGCTAGTAAGTGTCTGAGGATGGATTTGAACTCACGTCCTCCTAACTCCAGGGTTGATTCTCTATCCACTGAGCCTAATATTTACTGGCAATTCCAACTATATACCACTGTCTGTCAGAGTTTGGAATTTAAAGTCTTTCACAAGCTGACCCCAATCTACCTCTCACCCGCCTTATTTCACATTATTTCCCCTCCTGAACACTACCATCCAACCAAGCCGGCCTTCCTTCTGTTCTTCACATATGACATTTCCATCTCTGGTCTCTGTGTTCGTGTACAATATGTCTCCCCACCCTCCCACGCCCATGCTTAGAATGAGAACCTTAACTGATTGTTGGCTTTTAGTACCCTCTCTTCCAAAATTACCTTGAATTTACTTTCTATGTATCCTTTATATACTTATTTGGGTCTCCCTCTACAGAATGTAAGCTGAGGTCAAATATTGGTTTTTTTTAATCTTTGCATATAGTCAATGCCTAGCATAGCACCTAGATGCTTAATAAATGCTTATTGTCATCAGCCTAAATACCAAGCCTTCATAAATTTCTAGGACCTGCATTTCACTGTTCCGTCATCTTCCATCACCTTTATATCAGATGAGACCTAGGAATAACTCATATCTATACAGCACTTAAATTTTTTCCAGGTGCTTTCCTCACAAAAAGCCCTGTGGGGGTAAGCAGTGCAAATATTATTAACTCCATGTTATAAATGTGGAAACCAAGGCTCTAAGAAGTTACCTAATTTGTCCATGGTCACTCAGAGAATGGAGGCAGTATGTGAATCCTGTGAAAGTCGTAACTGGGCATGTAAACTTATGAGAAAAGAAGAGAGAGAGAGAGAGAGGGAGAGAGAGAGAGAGAGAGAGAGAGAGAGAGAGAGAGAGAGAGAGAGAGAGAGAGAGAGAGAGAGAGAGAGAGAGAGAGAGAGAGAGAGAGAGAGAGGGAATTTGTGTATATGTGTGTATGTATTTGTATATGTGGTATTCCTAAAGTCTTACTGAAGTTTTAAGTTATTAAAGTTTATATGTGTATGTATTAGGTATAGATTTAGATATTTCCAAAATCTTAGCTAAATTTAAGGATAAATCCCACAAGGTACTAAAGTTAATAATATTATTTCTATAGTGCTTTGCTTGGTAAAATGCTCTACAAATATCATCTCATTTTATCCTCACAACTATCTTGGAGGTGATATTCTCCCCATTTTGCAGATGAAGAGGCAGAGTCAGGCAGAGGTTAAGAGACTTGCAAAGGGTCTACAGTTACATTTGAACTCGGGTCTTCCTGACTTCAGGTCCAGCACGGAGTCAAAGAATTCAAAACATTTACACCTCAGGTCAGGCTGATTCTCCCCAAGCATCCAGTTATTGCACCCCGACTCCCCTACCTGGACAACCGAATCCAGTTCCTCTGTTGTTTGGAGGAGGATTGGGAGCAGGGAGACTGTTGGAACGTTCACATCCACAGCTGGAAGAGAGTGGGAAGGGGCTAGAACGCTCTGTATCAAGCGGTCCCCATGGAAACTGAAGAGTTGGGGCGGAGGGAAAAGAAGACGAAGCGGGATTCAGCTTCCTGATTGGAGGTTTCTCCCATCTCTCTTCCACCGCTGCCTGGCGACGATTCAAGCGCCCACCTTCTAAGATGTGTTTAGTGCCCTGCAGAAGAAACTCTTCACTTGTGTCCAGGGCAAAGGACGGAGATCCCGTCAGGGAAGGGACCAGGAAAGGAGAAAAAGACAAAGGGAAAGCCTTCTATTATCTTTCCTTTTTCACATAATTACTAAGCTTCCCAGTGTGGGAGGCAGATTTGAAATGTCCTTTCTGGAAAATGGTCCTGCGTCCCGCGCTGCCCCAGAGAATGCGTGGAGCAGACAGTTCGCGGAACTTCTCAGTCTCTGGGGTAAAGCAAATTTTTGGCCCTCCCCATCCACGGGGGCAAAAGCAGGTGGTCCAACGAGGTGTAGGGCCCGCAGGTGCTGCCCATCTCCCACCAGAGGGCAGCCTTGCCCCGTACTCTCGCTTACATTGTAATGCCAGGACTGTCTCCACTCATCGTAGAAGCATGACGTCTTATAGGGTCTTAGTTTGAGAGCTTAGATTTACAGCACAGATCAACCTTTTTGTGTGTTATGAACCTCTTTTGTCAGTCTAGGGAAGCCCTATGGGACCCCTTCTCAGAATAATGGTTTTAAATGCACAAAATATAAAAAGATTACAAGGGAAACTAATTATATTGAAATACAGTTAGCAATTTTTTTTTAAAGTTTATGGATTCCAGGTCTGTGATATTCCGACTCTAGGTAGGGTAGGGATGTCCTACCTTACAGAAAGGGGTAAGGATCCCCCTCTCAGGTAGTTATCCCTACCTTCAAGGATATCTAGTCCAACTCCTTCCTTTCAGACATGAACAGAGAGGTTAAGTGATTTGCCTGAAGTCTCACAGACAGTAAGCATCAAAAACCAACATTTGAACCTCAACTCAGTAGCGGATTAGGAGCAGGCACATACCTAATCAGTAGTTACTTAATTGTATTGAATGCTCAGGTCACAAACAGTCCCCACTATTTAAAAGTCTGAATAGATCTAAGGATCCACCTCATTTGGAAGCCACAAACAAAAGTTCCAAACAAAGCACCTAAGTCCAGTGGGAGCTCAGGTATTAGGGAAGACATGGATGAGATGAAACAATGTCTCTGTCCTCAAAGAGGTAATACAAGGATACTAATAATTAAATCAAATTAGAATGTGTTAAATGCATAAATGAGGTATAAAATGCTGGGAGAGATGAGAGGAGATTTCTGAGAATCATCTTTGTGGCCTAGAAAGAGCTCTAGAATAAGCTGTTAGATGAAGTCCTTACAGGGCTTGATTTAAACTTTTCTATTTTTATAAGGGGGGGGGAGGCAGGGGAAGGAGGATTATATCTTCCCAAGGTCCTTAAACTCTGGAATATCCCAGGATGGCTGAAATCTCTTAAGCCATTGTCAGAGGGAGCAAAAGTTGTAGTTAGATTCTCAGCTGGGCCAAAATGAGCTTGAATTCAATGTGAACTGGATTCAGTAAATAGTATTATCATAAGATTGAAGTAAAATGAGAAGGGAAACATAGAAGTAAGAAATCTGGTTAATAAACCAAATTATCCATTCCTACCTACAGGATAGGCTCTTAGAGATCATCCAGTCCAGTGGTCTCCAAAGTGGGTGTGCCCAAGTATTATTATTACAATTGTTGTTTGCTGATAGCAAATATCCTAGCAATACATGATCAAAGGAGACTTGGAGGCCATAATCTAATCCATCCAACACTGACAAGTAAGGAAACAGGCTCAGAAGGGAATTCTGTAAATATTTTAACAAAAAATGTTTTCTTAATCTTTCCTTACATACATGTGCAGTACCAACAAATGACTTCAAAAGACTTTGCTCTGCAAAGTAATAAGATACCCTGAGTCAAACATGAGTTTATCCTGGGATATAAATGTATCTTACAAGAGTCCTTTGTGAACTCAAAGTAGATCATTTCTACCTGTTTTTACCCACAGAGTCTACCCCAAGAGAGAAAGGGGATAGGCATGGGCAGAGAGCCTAGAATGAAAGGTTCTTTAGGGAAGGGAGAGGGTACCTAGGAGACAATCCCGGGAATAAGAGGGGTTATAGGCAGAGCTCACACTCTCTGGAGGCAACTGGAAAGAATAAGAGCCAGTGAAAGAGCTGGGGAACCAAGAGACCTTCAGTTCTATGCCAATGACCATCAAGGACAGCTTTGAGTGTGAAACTTTAAAGACTTCTCTGCAACTTTCCCCTTGCATGTACAAAAACAAAAGCAAAAAAAAAATACCTTTCCCTTTTGTTATCAGTGGGGAAAAAAACTTGGGAAAACTGAAAAGAGCAATGTGCTTGCTTCAGAGGGTCAGGGAGAAGTCAAAAATCTCTTTTAATAAGACTTCCCTGATGCCTGTTACCTTTTACCTTCCTCAAATTATCTTGTATTTATTCATCTGTATATATGTTGTATTTTGAGTGCCTACATGTCTCCAGACTGGGAGGAGAGAAGCAAAGATGGAAGAATGGATGGTAATGTCCAAGAAGGTAAATTAGGTAGAGCAGTCTCAGGGATGAGCAGAAGAAATACATTAATGGTCCTAAAAGTGACAGGTATCATCTGCATCAGCAAGAAAGCCCACTTTAAACTAGAGTAACTTTGGGGGGGTAACAAAGTGTAAATAACAGGTTTACTCATCAGAAGCCCCATTTTCAGTAAGGATTTAGAACAGGATTGAAAATGTAATTTACAGAATCAGTCAATAGTACTGGAGTGGAAAATTAAATTTGACGCATCCAAAACCAAACGTAATTGTCTCCCTCCCCCACCCCCAATCTGCTTCTCTCCTTGACGTTTCCATTTCTGCTAATAGCAGCAACATTCTCTCTGTCGTCCATCTTCAAATTTTTGGTCATATTTGATTCCTCTCTCCCATCCTATATACAATTTCCCTGCCTAGTGGATAGATCTCTTCCCTCAATTTCATATCCTGGGCCTCGTTTCATTCTACTCAAAGTCCTCACTGTCTCTTGCTGGGACTACTGCAGTATCCTCACTCCTGGCTATATCCGCTTCCAAGCCATCCTACGTGTCATAGCCAGATTAATTTCTCAGTAGAATGTAAATCCCTTGAGGTCAAGGATCATTTCATATTTGTCTTGACATCTATCTTCATGGACTACAACAGTGCTGGGCACATAGTAGGTGCTTAGTAAGTGCTTGTTGATTGACTGGTTGATTCCAAATGTACATCTCTGATCATGTCATTCCAAAATTCAAAGACCTTCATTAGTTCTATTGCTTAATGAATAAAATCCAAATTCCTTAGCTTAGAATTCAAGGCCCTCATAATTTGATTCTAAAGTCCATCTTTCTAGTTTATCTAATGCTATTGGAACATGGATATTACTTTGAAGTCTAGAAATGTTATTATATTATATTTAGCATTAAATTGTTTTAATATATAATATTGTATTAAAATTGTATGTTGTACAAAAACTTTGAATTCTGACTCTGTATGGTATTTGTAGTTTGCTTCTAAAGAACTCAGTAAGTACAAGTAATTAAATTTTAAATCCGCCAGAGGTTTTCAAGATATCTATATTTTAAGAATGGAATACAAGATTTCAACAAGCAGTCTAGTATTGCACTCTGTTCTTCCAGAGTAGTTTCTCTCAAGATGGAACCTTTCTCTGTCCATCATCTTTGACGTTCATATGCTTTTCTTCCTTATTCTGTCTAAAACAGAGAAATTGACCTTCCAAGGAGCTCTCCTGCCTAAGATACATCTGTCCTTCATCCTTTGGTCTGACTTTACCTATCTATCACAGAGCAAGTCCCAATTCGAGAAAATTCATAAGGAGCCTATAGATAAGAGGAGGGCCTGTCCAGCTTGGGTATTACCCCCAGATTGACCTGACTGCATCCCATGGCTCCATAAAACTGCTTTTGAATGCTTAAATTAGTCCATAGGCATAAAACAGGCACATAAAACATAAAACCCAGATTGAAAAAACATTTTAAACCTAGAGACTGACAAGCGACAGGGTTGGGTTTTTTTTGTTTTGTTAGTGGTCTTTCATTTGGATTCCTCCTTTTTAGGGTTTCCTCTGTCTCAGTCCTTTCTTTGGATTATGACACTTAATTTTGCACAGGGTCTATGAAGAAGAAAAGTTTCTTGGAAGGCTTAAATAACTCAGAACTAAGCATGAATAAATGACTGCTCAGTGTTATTTTTCAGATAAATTCACTACTCAGCATCTGTTAATTTAACTCAATTCGACATGTATTCATTAAGTGCCTACTGTACGCAAGGCACTGTCCTGAGATTTAGATGGACGAGGGAACTTATCTGAAATACATGAAAAGTTTAACGTCATAACAAAAATGTCAGAGCTGAGATTCAAATTCAGTTCTCCTGACTCTAAATTCAGTGCCCTCTCCACTACATGTGACTCTTGTATTTATATTCATGTATGTATTTGTGGGTACATATACATGTTTTTGTATGGAGAAGTAGTGTAACATAATGGGTGCCATGCTAGACATAGAGTCAAGAAGACCTAGATTCAAATTCTGACTCTTACACCAGCCGTGTGACCCTGGGTATCATTTAATTTTAGCCCTAGTTTCATCTGTAAAATGGGTATAAAAATAACTGTAATATCTAATTCACAGAGTAGTTGTGATGAATCAGTGAGATAAACGCAAGGCTTTTTGCAACCCATAAAGTGTAATATAAATGTTAGCTACTATTGATACTATTCATATGTATGTATATGTAGAGTGTCCCAAAAGTTTTACGTCAATTTAAACTTAAATTTTAAGGCAATCTTAGGGCAACTCAGATTTAAATTTTAAAACTTAAAGCTTAAAATTGCCTTAAGACTTTTGGTATACTCAATATACTTACATGTATCAG